GCAATTATAAGTATAAAGCATTGCAGACCGTGTCGCTCGGTGCAACGAAGTGGCGCGACCGTCGAGCGACCAGCGATATCACATTGCATCGGTTACTACTATGCGTCACTCTGTCTTTATATATATACAAGTTGCAACCACCCTGATTGCTGGCTTACGTTTCAAAACAATGATTTACCTAATTAAACCTCATTTTTGTATTGTTAGTCGTTGTTTTGTTGCATACCAGTTGTTATCTCGCAGGGCATATTATTTGCCTAGCACGAGAGCAGAAAATATTGTGTCCTTTCTTTATGTATATACGCGGTTCGTCTTTTCTTCATGGTTCACACAAACCAATACTTTTAATATGATCTATGTTAACTTGTAAGGAAATTTTTTATATTTTCTCTGCTCTTCTTTTAAGCACAGGCTGATTCTTGCCAATAATCTTCCTCAACCACAACCAATAACTTATTAATTTCTTTAGCTACTCATTTAGAACCCAGGTTTTTTCGGTGCACCTTTAAAAAATTAAAATCAACTAAAAGTTTCCTTCATAGGCCACATTTTTTCTCCGAACGCAGAATTTATTCAATTGAACCAAATGCTTATGTTCATATACCAAAAATTTTAATCAATTTATGATTTGAACCATATACTATGTTATAGTTTTAACTCCCAGGCCTATGACGCCTAAGGCCTGATGACAGAGTCTGCATAGATCGGATGTTTAGTTTTTATTCGGGCAGTTTTGTTATCAATTCGTTGCTATTTGATACTTTCCAATTAACAGTGAAAAGAAAAAATTATATATCTTTGGTTTATTTAACTGAATAGAGAATTTGATTTAAACATATAATTTTTCCCGGAGTAGAGAATTAATGGCGGATAAAGAAAATATAATTGCGGCTTTAGGTATTTATGTTTCTTACTTTTTAATATATTTTCATGTATATATTTCTTTTTTCTTCTCGCGCTCTTCTTTTATCAGCAATTTCGATTTTGTCGTTCGAGGATATATATATTTTCATTTCATTCTATACCTGTCACCACGACTTCCTTTGATGTTTGACAAGTTAATCTTGTATACTTTATAATATATTACTTATATAAGTATAAGTCTTTCCCATGTGAAGGACTACTATGAGTGCGACTATACATAAATTTTGCTTTTCGAAAAATATTATAGATTTTTGAAAAACGATCGCTCCAGTTCTGATACCCTTATTCTTTAAAAGAGAAGAAAAATTATTTTCTTATTCGAAATCATGTTTATTTATATTTGATATGATTTTTTATGATTAATTATCAAAATTGATAAAACTGATTCGGAAACAGAGAGACACTTGATAAAGATTGATGTTGAGATAGGGCTTGTATACATGTAGAGTCAGTAGTATATATATAATACATATGCTGCTTGCGTGAAGTAAACTTTTAATGTGATGAATGACCGGTAAAAAGGTGTGTAATACCCCGCTATAAAGTGAGATAAATGATCTTGTGATGTACAAGTTAAAATTCACGGTATGTCTTTTTTAAATTATCATATATGATGTATGTAACTGTTATGTTATAAATATAAAAATCGGTCATGCGTGTTTCAGTCAATATGTTTGTAGAAATATAATCTGTGGTAATTGTTAAAAAGTGTGTTACATGCGATTATGAATTGATTATAGAAATAGTTTGCAAAGAGTTTTTAAAAAAGAAAAAATATTTTAGATTTCACTTTTGTGACTGAAACCGCTTCATTCAAATATTTTATCTCAATTCGATATCCTTAGAAAAACTGTGACTGAATTTTTGTCTTAAGAGTACAATTTTCTTATGGATCTCAAATTGAGCTTAGAAAACGTATATAAAATTCTTGCGATGCAATCTTTTGATGCTGTTAAAACATACTTTCAATTTGAAAACCTTAAAAAAATTGGGTATGATTTTAAGGCAGAAAGCAAGTCTTAAGTTGAAACATTAAAAACAGCCAAAGCTGAATTTGGATATTTTTGAGGAATTTATATGGTGGCAGCCTGAATTTAAGACTGATCTTAAAATTATATAATTTTCTTATTATTATTTTGAAAGATTGACAAAAAATTGGGAGACAATACAATAAGATATATGTAACGCTCTTATTGTATTAAAATAAGCCAAAAATGTTTTAAGATGAGCTAAAAATTGATTAAAACGAGCTAAAACGTAAGAGCATCATATATATGTGTTCTTTTAATACCTTCCCATTTTATGTTTTGTATTTTTTAGAGCACAGGGAATAAACGGATATGTGATTGGTATAACTGTTTATATTGAAAACTAAGGGAAATCTATTTTCTATGATAATCATATCCATATATCTGTACAGTTGACTAAACATTCTATATGTTTGATATCACAGATTTCTAAGGATCTCAAATTGAGACCATAAACTGTATCGAATTGTTGTAGTGCAACGTTTTGATGTTGTTAATGGTCTCAATTTGAAAACCGTAATAAATGGATCCCCCATAATTTTCAATATAAATGTTTGTACCAACCATAAGTGACCGCGTCCGAGAAAAGGGACCTTATGACCAAAAAAATCGATTTTTAGATTTAGACTGTTTTTTTACACTTTAAGGTCCTTAAAATGTAATGCAATTAGTCCTATGGGTTAAAAAATTTTTTTGTAGACAAAAGTGATTATAGGCATTTTTGATTAAAATCAGTAATTTGAATGAAAAAATTTAAACTCATTTTACTCGAAAAGTTGAGTTTGGTCATAAGGTCCCTTTTCTCAGACGCGGTCACTATATTCTTTTTTCCGTGCTGGTTAAAGTTGTGGGATTTTCTGCATTAAAAATCGTCAAATTAGAAATTATTGGATTCAATATAATAGATATTGACGATATTATTGTACTCGTTGAAGTACCAATCGTACTGGTTGTACCATTTTGTATATGTACACTGTAAAAAAAGGAGTTAAATTTTAACTCCCCCGGGGGGTCTATAAAAGTCGCACCCATTGGGGAGTTATAATGCCAGGGGAGTTAAATAAAGAGAGTTAAAATTTCACACCCAAATACTAACTCCCCAAGGAAAAAATAACTCGCACGGGTGTTGAATGAAGGGAGTTAGAAATTAACTCTCTTTTGGAGTTGATTTTTAACTCGAAAAATTTCACTCCCAACTCCCGAGTCCGTTAACTCCCTAAATTTTTTACAGTGTATATGTTCTTGAACTGAAAGAAAATATTATCCGTTGAAAAGAAGTTCTTTTGTATAACGAAATAGGTTTTCTTTTCTTTCTTCTTCTTATTCTGAAAAAAGTATATATATATACTTGAAGTAACTTGAAACGATCGAGCAATCTTTATATAAGCACTTCATATCATTTGGAAGTAGGTAATAATTAATAGGATATGACACAGCCAGAATTACAACAAAACATCCCAATTATTTTTCTCAGTGTATCCATCTTGTATTTATATACTCTTCTCTTCTAATTTTTTTTTGTTCCTCCACTTATCTTGTTGATTTTTTTCCCAATGGTTAAATCATCTCATCCTCTCGACTTTGCAAGTTCATGGACGTTTCATCTCAGCACTTCTTCTGTTCCTATAGGTTTCTCAGCAGCATGTAAGTATAATGCCAGTAGCATTCTGTAATTTGGAGCGCATAGTCACGGAATAGAATAAGAAATATTACTGGCTGGAAAATTTTGAGCGATTAGATTAATTTCTGTGCTTGATAGCTTAATACGATCTTCCGTGAAGTTAATTCTTGAAAAAAGAGAAAAGCAACGTGGAGCAACTTATGTCGCAGGAATATGTAGATGGAATTCTGGAGTGCGATGGTATCGAGGTCTCGTTGTTAAATCGGTGGCGCCATACTGGCTCGCGGATTGGTCAGAATTACGACTAAAATAGGCGGGGTTATTGTATGTTGGGATTAATGTAGGCGGAGTAAATTGTGGTGGGAGTTAATGTTGTGAATTCTTGTTCTCACTCTCTTTTTCCACTTCCATCGTGTTTCCAACGTACTGAAGATAGTCTCGAGCCCTCTCTCTATCACTCCTGCTGATGGAGAAGGGTAAAAAGAAGGGACGTATCCACCTGGACTCGGCTACTGTTCGTTCATCCAACAGACTTGCCACTCCCGCCACAAAGCGCCCTTCTCTGGCTAACGACGTCAGCCAGTTTCTCCTACCGTGACAACAACATTCAACACTGACTTTAGGGCCAGTGCACGACACGCATCTATAGGGTGAGCATCGTGTTATGTTGCACCTACATTGTGCCGGTATTCTTTCCTCGAATTGTGATCAAGAGTACTTTTGATAACCGGCATATCAGGTGTGTGTTCGTCAAACCTGTCGGTTATATCTAGTGGAATATGCGAATTTTGTTGTGACAAAGTGATTAGCATAGTGGGAAGGAACGACACGTGGAAAAAAAAGTGATTTTGAAAGCGGATTTACAAAAAAGTGGATTGAAGGAATAAGGGGAGTGATATAGAGAGGGAAGCGCAGGTCCGTGTCTTAAGATCATCAAGGAGGGGGTGAACTCGCGCAAAGGAGAAGGGTGAAGATTGCGAATGACCGAGAGAGGGGAGGCTCGATTTTCGTGAGGGTTCTTTGGTTTTGAGGCGATACGCTTGTCACGAAGGAAGAGACACAGTGACCTTACTACCCTTTGGTTTTTTTTTACCGAATCGGGAATGGATATTGGAAATTTTGTGGCTTTTGATAGTGTGCATCGTTTGAAATTGTGTCTTTCAGGTTGTAATTAAACCTCAAGGATGTTTTCTAAAAGTTGAGTGATGATCATCAGTGGAGTAATTTGAACATAGTGATTCGTGAGAAACTGTTGAATATATTGAAAGTGATTCAACGTTTTTTGAAAATCTTGCTTAATTGTGTTGACCTTGGATTATTTGTGTGACTTTGGAACAACTGGCATGTTGAGGGTTGGAATTTAATTGTCAATCATATAGCGAATCTTGTTTATAGAATATCGTGATTGTGAATTATTTGAACGAGGATCAATTTAAGTATTCGGAGTTGTTTTTGGAGAATGACCTAATAGAGGAAGAGGCAGCTTTTGGTGCTGCAAGGGGCATAAAAATTTGCACGGTGTACGCGCTGGACAGAACCAGTTCGGGGCTGGGGATCCTCGGGGGTCCTGGAGGTGGCATCGTCGGCAGTGGCGGTGGTCCAGGGCTGGTTGGAATTTGTGGTAGCACGGCCACTGGTTCCCTGCAGACGCCTTCCGAATACGTTGTAACGGCTGCAGCTGCTGCGGCGGCGGCAGCAGCAGCAGCTGCTTCGGCATGCTATCCTCCAACTTCCGGGCTAGCTTTAACAGCCGCCCCTCACGCACAACCCCCGGAACTTGATCCCACGATGACGCCTACCTCCGCTCCACCCCCGGCTTCTGCTTCGGCCTCGGCTTCAACCCCGACATCGGCAATTCCGTCGGGTCCCAACAATCCTGTAGCCATGAGTCAGCTGGGAACTGTTTATGCTACAAAGAGAAGACGCCGCAATGGAAAGAGGTTTGTTTTATTGCAAAAGCTGTCTCTGATCTTCTGGCGCTGAATGCAAGTGTTTTCTGGGATAGACAAAGCATATTAGAAGATATGCTAAAACGGCAGTTAAAAACTAGTTTTTGATTGAGGGAATCATGTAGTGAAGATTTGACCTAATCAAATAGGTTTGGCCCAAAATGGCAACAACAAATAAATTTTGGTTTCTTAAATATCAACTAAATATTTTGTAGTCAAAAACCTGTCTCGGTGCAATATCGAAAAATTTGGATCAACAGAATGACACTAGTTTCTAATGCGGATCTTAGAAATTTCTTTTGGTATAGCATTTACCTTTCGTTGGAAGCCTATCTTCTTTTCTTTAGTTGCTATTTCAGAATGTATATAATCATCTCTTTAACTTGATCTGTATTTTATTGTCCAATAACTTTTCTTTGTCTCTTCATAACATCTTCTGCTTCTCTATAATGAACATAGTCCACAACTATGATGATCTATCATGGAAGCTGTTTTATGCTTCAGTCCCTATTTACTGCCAACATTTTTTTGAAATGTATTGGCTTCTCAAAGATCAATGCATCTTACGATGCTTTTGATAAATTTTTCCAAACGACTTAAAAGTTACTAACGAAGTTTGTTAAAAGATGTCTCTTTTTACACTGTTCTTAATCGTTTAATATTCTTGTTCTTACTTTCAAAAAAAATTCTTGTACACCAACGACTTTTTTCTCCTTTTCTTCAAATAACATGCAAAGAAATTAATTCTTTTTCATCTTAAGATGAATCTTAAGATGAAGAAGAAGATGAATTTTAAAATGAATATGAATTCTAATACCAGAAAAGAAAAGAAGAGGAAGAAAAGTAATTTGTCTCTTCATGCGTTGTAACGCATGAAGAGACAAATTACTTTTCTTCCTCTCCTTTTCTTTTCTTATTTGTTTCAATGAACAAACTATATTCTACACTCCACCCCATTGTCCTTCGTTTTCACCTCGGTTTTCACCTACTTAAAGGAAATCCCATTTCCTCTAATTATAAAGACATATCTTGATATGATTGGTATTCAACAATGCTAACAACCTGAAAATATATAAATATAATATATACGATCTAACGCATAAAGAAACTAATTCAATTTTCTTCGAGAGCTGAAAAATTGAAACTCTTTTCATCACCACAATGAATAATGAATACCAGTAGCTGGCAATCCTTTCTCTTCATACAAATATGCACAATTATGATGCATCAACGTGCACTGGAGGCCCAACAATACTCCCAGTCTCACGATGTAATAGCAGACCTTCCGTTTGAGAAACATATTCCATATTATCGCACATATATATATGCGTGTGTATATATGCTCTTTTACTCTGATCTCGTTTATCTTTCTCATTCGTTATGATTTATCACTTCGCAAAATACAACAACTTAAACAAGTTTATGTATCTAAGTACTATAAATTACTTTAAAATATTTCTAGATTGAATATATTAACATTATATACCCGTAAAATTAAACATATATCTGATAAATACAATACTATATATACTGTCTTGTCGTCTTTAGTTACACTTGCATTCAGTGTCTTCTTATCTAATAGCATTCTTTTTTTTATTAAACGAGATCATTTAGGATAAATATGTGTATAGTATACATATTTATTTATTTAATATAGTTAATATTTATTATTTATTTACTATTTATATATTTATATTTATATAGGTAAATAAATATATATGTAGGATAGTTTACACATGTAAATATAAAGTTTAACGTTTGTTGACGATGCTAAAAATCATAGTGCAACAAGTTGTCGTTCAATATTCGATACAAGAGAATTTATTTAAACTTATCGTGAGTGTGATATAATATTAGTCTGCTATCGATAATTTTACATGTTCGAGATATGTGTATATTGTGGGTGTATATATCTTATAACTTGTAAAAGTCATTAACTATTCTGGAGCATCTATGTATGTCTGATGCGGTTTAAAAAAAAGGATTGCAAGTTTTCTGCTATAGACATATAATAGTCTTTCGTTTCCGTATATACCAATAAGAAGTTGATAATTTATTAATACAGTGATTTAGATAGACTACTGCAGTTAGTAAGCTATAGAGTCGTTTTTTATGCAAAGTTCTTATTTATAAGTTAGTGGATTTTTATAACATGGTAGGCAATAATTTTCAGCAATGTAAATATTTAAATAAAACTGCACTGAGAAAGTATTATACTAAAATGAAATATTCTACATTTTAACATTTGAACCAAATTCACACAGAAAAAAATTATGATTGAATGAAATATTTAACGCAAATAAATTCTTTTTTTTACGGAAATAAAATTTTTAACTGAACGAAATAAATAATTTGAGCAAAATTTATTTGTAACAAATAAATTTGTGACTGTGAGGCAAATGTACCTTTTCTCTGAGTATATATATTCTGAAATTTTTGGTAACATTTGTATAGAAGTGGGCGGGATGAAAAATTAAATTCCTCGATGATGATAATAATAGAAATTGAGTCAATAGCGTTTCGAGGAACGATCGGTGTTAACTAACGCGCAAAATTATAGCTTCGTGAAAAACAGTCGTTCAACCAATCGAAAGAAATATGAAAGGCAACCGCGAGGTGAATTTTCAAAGTCTGATGGGTAACAAGGGATATTCTTTTCTCGTTGGGATGCAAGCTTAATGGAGTTTTAAGCGGTCTTTTGAGTCGCTTGAGTGGTCGCTGATAGGAGTGAGGTCCGTCGCTCGCTTTTGCTTCAGGCTGAAAGACAAGAGCAAGAAATTGAAGCGCGAGGAGGGGTTGTTTATTGAGGAGCTAAGTTATAAAATTCTCCCATTCACGTTGCGCAAACAATTCTCGGCGAAAAATAAAAATTAAAGTTGCCAACACGAAAAAAATGAAGGTTTCTTTATTAAAAAAGAAATTTAATTACCAATTTATACTAATTCTATAAATTGGTAATTTATTTTATTCGATTAATTTCGAGTTTGAAAGATTTCGATTTTGATAGATTTCGAGCTTTATAGATTTCGGTTTTTATAGATTTCGAGTTTGATAGATTTCGAGTTCAATAGATTTTGAATTTGACAATTTTCGAAGTTTTATTTTAATATTTCTGAGAATCTACATATAGTTTATAAATATATTGTGACTGTTTTTGAAAATCAGGGAATAAGCCAGGAATTTTATGCCAAACCGGGAATTTTTTCACCAAATTAAAAAAAGTTTTATTATTTTAATTTGTTTTAAAGAAATCGCTTTTTATTTCAATTTTGATAGATATTTATATACTAAATTTGAATTATTTAATTTAATTACTATCAAATATAATTAATTTGATAGTAAAAAATCAGTCACTGATTCAAGTATAGTATGTAAATTAATTTTTAAAAAATTATCGAATTAATAGAAATTTTGTGAAAATAATTAAATTCTTTTAAAGATTTTATTTAAATTTTTAGAAAATAATCAAGGGAAGTTAGTCACTGTAATTATAATTTTATTTTTAAAAATTTCTTCGCAATATATTCAATTACTTTCATAAATAGTAAAACTCATTGCAGAATTTCAATTATTTTTAATACAATTTTCAACAAATTCCTCGAAAAATGTAATTATTCTTAAAAATTTTATTAAAATTCGTCGAAAGAATTCAATTATTTCTAGAAACTTTAAAAAAATTCTTCTCAAGAATTCAATTATTTTCATAAATATCAAAATTCTTCAGATTTACTAAATTCTTTTGAATATTATTTTTAAAAAAAATTTTTCACAAGAATTCAATTATTTTCATAAATTTCCATAAAATTCTTCGCAGAAATTCAATTATGTTTAACATTTTTTTTTTAATTTTGCTTAAAATTTCAATTATTATTATAAATAATTAAATTGTTCTCCACAATTTAATTATTTTCAAAAATTTTAATGAAATTCTAATGCAAACATTTAATTATTTTCATAAATAATAACATTCTTTGGGAGGATTCAATTACTTTTATAAATAGTAAAATTTTTTGTAGAAATCCAATTAATATCGATACATTTTAATATAATTGAATTAATCAAATTTATAATTATAATTATGAACAGACAAAATTATTTTTAAAAAAAATGAAAAAATTCTTTGTTTAATTCAATTATTTTTCAAATTTTTAATTAAAATATTTAAAGAAACTCGCCAAAAGAATTTAATTATTCATAAAAACTATAATAAAAATTTGGTAGCCATTTGTAGATTTATTTATGTTCGAAATCAAATAAATTTTAATTTCATGAGAAAAAAAGACCGGGAAAAACTCGGGAAATAACCGGGAATTTTGTTGAACGAAAATAGTAGACACCCTGAAAAATATTTTGAAATCAATAGGTAGTGTGAAATTTCTTGAGATTGAGTAAGAGATGAAATTTATTTATTTTTTTTTTGAGTAGAGTGACAGGTAAATATTCGTTTACTTTTTTTTTGGTTTAATTGCAAAACATTTAAACACAGGTATTGTATGTATAGAATGTGAGTTGCAGGGAGATTTCGCGGATCGAGTTGTTTCCAAAAAATTTACCACGGTTCGCCAAATGTAGCGCCGTTCCTTCGCTAATGACAGCAGCTTCTATAATTTGGAGTTTTTGAGCGAACGGCCAAATTGCCAGCAGAGTCAAAGGGAGAGGGATTACTGTTATTACACTCGGCCACGAAGAACTCAGTCGTCGGAAACCTGATTATACTTTAGTCAGTTTCTCTCTTGACCTTCTCCGATTGTCAGCTTCACTTTGTATAAAAGAGCAAATGGGGGGTGTTTGCGCGAGCGCGGATTCGCTTTTCTCGGATTTCTTTTTATTTTTTTTTCTCGCCGCGATATTTTCTTACGCTTACACCAAAAGTCCAGGAACTTGATTTTTATTTGTGACGTCGATAAAGAGATGAGGAGCGAAGAAGTAATAGAGAAATATCATCCTTGGAACTTTAGTCCATTATGTTTACTTTGAAACAAAAAGCAGAA